AGTTATACTAAATTTGTTGGCTGGTTAGAATCATTAGCAATTGAAAATGAACCTTTACCTAAGGGGCTTTTATTCATAGCTTTCGATAATGAACAATGAGGTCAACATAATTACCTTGATCGCGGATATAACACGATTATTTATCAAGTAGTTACAAGTTTTGTTGTATTAAATATGAATAAAAATGACTTAATTCAATTTGTAAGTGAACCTTGGCGTAATGATCCGGTAACTGATAAAGAATATGAAGAGCTATATTATCTTGCACCAGAAATGAAAAAAGAATACGAATTAGAGTTAAAAATATACTTATCTTCGATTTTAAAAGATCTTATAGCTAAAAAAGATCAAGAAATAAATGCTATTAATCAAAGTATAGGAAATCAAAAAGGTGTTGAGAGTCAATCGAAATAGTGCAAAGAATGCAATACAACCAACATTGATAATAAAAAACATACATGCCCTAATTGTCATAAAAAATTAGATACATTTGCTACTTTACAAGCGGAATCTGCTGAAGAACTTGCATGACTTAATAATACAGTTCTACAGTCAAAATCTCTTATAATTAAGTTCCATTCATATACTTACGAACAAAAAAACTCTCATTTTGAACATATTAGTATTACCCAACACTCAGAACCAGATAATAATATTATTGTTCCAGAAATGCATATGCCGGATCCATTAGAATGCAACCCTAATTCAATAAATAATATAAAAAAGGTTTTAGAGTATATACAGAGTATTACGGGGATAAACCAAGGAGCACGAAAATGGCTACCGGTTACTTGCGATAGCATTCCTTACAATCTAGTTCAAAAAATTAAAAACAACTTTCCGTGGCTTATACTAATTCCTGGTGCCCTGCATGAAGAAATGAATATGCTTAAAGCATTTGTAGAACTAAATTGGTATTATTGTTTTTTGGATACGTATTTATTTTTAGTGATAGGGAAAATGCGCATTTTATAATAACATACATATGAATGCGCATGAAATGTTTCATACGCATGATATCGCATGATAAAAAAAAGACAAAAAAAAAAAAACCCGATCGAGAGGAGAGAAATCTTGATGGGATAAAATGCACATGAAATGGAATCATGCGCATTAATGCGCATGATTCTGCAATCATGCGCATGCATAAAACCCATCTCTATTTCTTTTTGTTATTACAAATAACTCTAATTTATATTAACATATTCTTTTAAGGATAATTGATATCAAGCAATTCGCTATTCTTCAAGGATACAGAACTGAAAATCAACTTAGGTATTTCAAAAAATGCGTCAACTATCACAAATCGTAGGACTCTATCTGCAACATTTATCGACATGCGATTACATGTAAATTATTATGGCCATACGTAGTCGCAACTAAAAATCCTTCGGCTGATGGCTATTTGGATTGGGCAAAGAAACAAAATGATCATAAATATAAGCTGAAATTTGAACAGGTAAGATTTCAAATAAAAAAAAATAAAATAAATAAAATATTGTTTAAAAATTTTAGCTAATGATTATTACAGACATTTATCTACCTCTAGGCAATTATCAATTTTCGTACGGGGGTTAGAAATAATCAACCATTGTTGATTAGTATTGCTCGACGTATGTTTGCTCTGATATGGTCTGGTCGTAGGCATCCTATATACCGCTTAATTGAGATAACTTATGAAGAGCAATTGATGTGGTTAAATCCTGAAATTAGAAAATGCATAGAATCATTCTCGGTTATTTCACGATCAGGACATTGTAACCAACATCAG